CATTCCTCTGAATTGCTGCAGCCCAACACGAGCTGAGCATGAGCTATTTTGTTTTTGGTGGTTTCAAAGCTCAGCTTCTTGCAGGTCCAAATGTCTATAATGCTAGTGAAGAGCTGTTACCCATTGTATAGCAAGCTGCTACAGTCTAGTCCTACACCCTCCTTCAAACTAGAAACATGGGTAGAAGAGACTCACAATGGCAGGGGGGGTAGTGCCGATACCGAGAAGTAGCACTCCCTCTTCCCCAGCTGTCAGTCAAAGAACAGCTAAACCCTTTAAGACATTTCCTCCTCCTCCTCCTCCCTGCTATTCCCCAAACTGAGATCCCTATACCCGAAGAAAAGGGATGCAGTCATTATCACTAAGAGTTCAATTTATTTCCACTCCATGTCCCCTTGCCAGACACTGGCTACACTGGAGTATGTCCTAGACTCTCAAACATGCTGCTTCCCAAATGCATCTATCACCTTTTGCTAACTCTTGTATAGATTTTTTTTTTTTTTTTTTTGGAAATTTGAATAGAAAGAGCTGCAAAGAAGCCTGACTCAGTAGTTTCACTGCCTAGATGGAAGGTCACTGCTTCTTCAGGATGAGTAGGGGGTCATCTCAATTGTTCAACCCTAAGCACATGCTTTAGACCAGTGATTTTCAACCTTTTTTCATTGGCGAAACCTTAAAAAAAAAAATAGAGTGGGGATGCGGACCCCCTTGAATTGTAAATGTGGGTATTCACACACTTTTGATTGACCATAGTCATCTTTCTGGACCTGTGAGTCTGTGGACCCACAGGGGTACACGAACCACGGTTGAAAACCACTGTGTTATTGGAAATGACTTCAGAGATCTTGGTTAGGCTGACTATACATTTAACTCTACAGATGATGAACTGTCACCCTCCACTAGCAGCAGCTACGGATAGATCTGTTAGCTACATCTGCTTTTGATCTAACATAGGGGCTTCTTGGTTTCTGACCATTTATTCCCAAGAATGAGAGGTTGCATGTCTTTGTTGATTAAGTGACTCTGTGTGCAGTGATCTATGACGTTACAACCGGCCTGAGAGGCAGCAATGGACCAGTAAGCATACTTTCTGGACAAACTATTCTTCATAAAGTTAGGGCAGTGCTGTCACCCACACAGTAGGAAAGGACACACTTTTTCCACTGTATTAAGTCCCCTGTTGGAGGTGTATGCATTCTTAAGTGACACACGCAACTTACAGAGGAGGCCTCCTCCAACAGCCTGAAGCACAGTTAGAATAGGGAAGAAGTAGAGGGCTGCATAAATGCTTTTAAATCTATCCGACTTTCCTAAGCCACAGGCGATCTTCTTAACCAGAAGAGGTCGAAGCAGCATCATCAACACTAGGCAGAAGGCATAGTAGATAAACACTATGGTGTATCTGTAGAGGAAAATGCGACAGTTACTGTTTGCATGACCTTAACTTCTGGACTTCTACCATAAGTGCCAGGCTGTTTCCTGCTAGACACGGTCTCAGCTCTGAAGGGGTTGCAGTCAAAACACCCAAGTGATGGGAAAGGGGAGCAGAGGCACGGAATACTGCCCTGACCTACCCCACTTCGTGGAGCAGGACAGTGGGAGAAATGCAAACAAAATACAGGTTTTCTGACTCCTGCCTACTAGACCACACCCACCTTTGGAGAGTGACAGCACGGGGGGAGGTTACCAAAAGGCTCCCCAGATCCATTGTTGTTTGATAATGCTGCACCCTGAAGTGAATGCACTTTTTGCATACACCCTGCATCTTTCTTCCAAAAAAATAGCAGCTGGAAATTGGAGTGTGTGTAAGCAATATAGTAAAAGCACTTTTTGAGCAAAGTGGAAGTAAAGCCTGCAGGGATCCATAGGAAGCAGAAGGATGAGCTGGCTCAGCTTCTACTTGCTGATACTCAGCTACTTACTACAAGGAAAGGCTACTTCATTGTGCCTTTCAAAAAGAAGGGGTATATCTTATTCTGGGGCATGCTCTACGTGAGAAAATACAGCATATTAAAATTCACCACTGCCAGTCCTCTATCCGCCCAAACCCTCACACAGTAGGCAGTCTTTCTCGGTGCTCATTGGCAAGATGGTAAAGATACAGGCATCTCTTGTTTGGAAGGATACAGGCACACAGGATGTGAGATAAATGAGAATGTGAATTCATATTTCATTGGATATTCTGCAGCAACTGCCTATCTGCATCCTCTTGCCCTGGTTAAGTGAGAACTACCTTATCCCTTTATTAGGGGCAACCTACCCTGCATCTACTGCACCATGACAGCATGCACACAGGCAGGTTGCAAAGCAGGTGATGTGCTGCGAGTTCACGTTCCAGCTTGCCTTGCAGTAACAGGTTCATAAGGACAAATTCCAGGACTACCAGTAACTCCCACTGTGACTGTTTTGTCACCACTTGCACGGGAACAAGCAGAATTCTCCTAGAACACGAGGCTGCAACAATGAGCAAACTCACTCCCAATAAAGCTGTGGTCACGGGACACTGAGGGTGTTGGGTGGTTTGGCTGACTGAGCTGGCAAGCTGCTGAGTGCTCTGGAGAAGCACATGAGAGTGAATAGAGCAAATCACCAACTTCCAAAGGTTTTTTGGACAGCGCCTGGTTTGGCTCAAAGCCTCATGCATTCTGCACCTTTGTGGGGACCGTTAAGGGCCCTCATCGATACAAGAATGAAACAGGACAGCAGGAGCCGCAATGCTGACAAGAAACCTGATGCCATCTCCCAAGTGAAATCTGACTTAATTAGCACTTGTGTTGTCATAAGAAGTTCTGATCTTTTTTCCCCCCCTCACTTGATTCAAGCGCCATGTTCTCTTTCACATTCGTGATTGGCTTTTAAATAAATCTCCATGCTGCAGGAATTGTCTGAATCTAAGTCAAATGACATGCATTTGGGAGGACACCCAAGTTGCCCTCTCACAAGGGAAATAGGAAAATAGTAAGTACGTTTTGCCAACATAATAACTGCAGTTGAGCGAACAGTTAAAATCATGAAGTACAGAGAATTCAACACCAAATTAAGGGGGGAAAAAAAACTGAGTGGAACAGATTTTGTACTCACAGAGGATAGACTGCTTCATGAGTGCAGTGAATAGTGGTAATGTAATCCGGGCTTGGGTTGTACAGCATCGTATACCAGTCTGACAGCATCACCACCTTGCAGGAGCGGATGCACAGGGAACCCACCGGGTCACTCACAAGCAGCGTAACTATAGCTGCGACACTGCATTCAAATAAGGCCGTGATGTGCTGGAACAATGCACTGGAACTGGAGGAAGGAAAAGGTGCTTCATGTCACTGTTACTACTAAAAAGAATGAAAATGCTGACTGAAAAATAGCCTTTCAATTTTGAACTTCTGCTGAGTTAAGGACAGGACAGGACAGGAAACCACCTTGCTGACCGCTTTAAAACTTTATTTTGTAATGAGTGGACAGTAAAGAGTCCGCACATTAAATCCACATAATCCAGGATTCAGACAGCTTTACATGTGCAGTCAGACTGTGTTTGAATGTCTGAAACTAACCTTTGCGCTGTTAGCAGTCTAGCAAACAACCAAGACCAAACTACCAGAGGAGGTGTCTCCTCACAATGCACATCACAGGTGCATATCACAGATCCTACGTGTGCAGTGACCTGGAGCCTGAAGGCTGCTTTTTACAGACTAGCATGCATTGGTTTAGGAGCAGCACTTTCAAACAGTGTCATAATTTGCCGTGCTTTCACCTACTGGGACAAGCACATACACAACACCAATGTAACTAGTGTCCATTTGCACCCGGATACAAGTTATATCAGTGCCCAGAGGAAACAGATTAGCTTGAAAGAGGCAGCTGCCTGCCAAGAGTAGGTGCTATCACAGCGCCCCGCCGCTAGGTGAGGAAGTCTGGAATAGTCTGCTCTGAGCAAAGGGCTGCCCTAACATACAAGAAATAATGGCCACAAGCTAGCAGAGAGCAGATTTAGATTGGACATTAGGAAGAACTTCTTCACAGTTCAAGTGGCCAAGGTCTGGAACGGGCTCCCAAGGGAGGGGGTGCTCTCCCCTACCCTGGGGGTCTTCAAGAGGAGGTTAGATGAGTATCTAGCTGGGGTCATCTAGACCCAGCACTCTGTCCTGCCTATGCAGGGGGTCGGACTCGATGATCTATTGAGGTCCCTTCCGACCCTAACATCTATGAACCTATGAATCAACTGACCTGACCTAGAGCAGCGTAGGGTTGCTCAGTCTGTCTGCTCCACATTTACATCAAGGCACGTTATAGAGGTATTAATGCACTGCACATTCTCTGTTTAAACAGAACTATCACTGAACAATGAGTCTATATGCTTGCAATAGGATTATCCTAGTATTATTTTTTCATAACAACAAACAACAACAACAACAACAACCACCACCGTTGATCCTCCTGAATTATGGTGTATGCACAAGGGTCATCCAGACCTTTGATGCATGAGCCTGGGCAGGAATTTTTGGAGGAGTGGAGGCTGCCCGGACCTGCCATCCTACCTTTAGGCCACTGAGACAGCAGGCGGCCTGGGCTCGAAGCAAAGACCAGACTGAGTCCAGATGGGAATCTAACCCAGGTGTCCCGTGCAGCAGACAAGGACAAGGACTCTATCACTGAACCACAGGGCACTACTACTATTACCACCACCACGCAAGTTCCTACAAGACAGACATCTTCTGCACGTGAAGACGTCCCGGCACCCAGTTTCACTCATTCGTTTCATTTTTATAAACCGGCATCTTTCTATCTGTTATACTCGGTTACTACTTCTCACGCTCGATTACAGGCCCTGCCACGTCGCACGGATGCGTGTTCAAACGGATCTCTTCCGACAGGCTGCAGAACGAAAGGCTTTACTCGTTTTCAGTCACCGAAGGCTTTAATACCAGTTTAAAACAGAAGCCTTGGGAAAAGTACCGTGTTCGTACAGCACGAAACCATCGCGGCGCGCAGCACGGCCGCTACACCAGGTGGCTACAAAAGGCGGCGCGGCCACGGGCTCAGCGGCGCGTACAGCCAAGGATCTGAGCCACATGCAGACTCCCGCCCAGGCGCCCGTCGGGGAACCGCGAGCAAACAGCTCCTCACCTCTTCTTCCCCGAATACCACTCGATGAAGAACCAGTGCAGCACCACGGGCAGCATGGCCATGAAGCCCAGGTACAGCCAGTCGTAGCGGTCTGGGGACTCTGTGCACGGCCGGCAGATCTTGTGGTCATCCGTCTTCTGTCCCCTGGGACACACCTGTAAGAGCAACCCCCGCCCAGGGCCGCGGTGACGGTGTCTGCAGCGCGGCGCGGCCTTCCCTGTTGCTGGGACCCGAAGCAAGCCCCGACACCGCTGCACCGAGTCTCAGGAGCCGCCTGCCCACCCGCCCCCTCTGCCGACGCTGCTCTCGGCGGGGTCGGCCCCGGCACCCACTTGCTCCCGGCTCCCCTCGAGCGCAGCTCCCCGGGGCCCGGCAGGGATCCGCCTCCCCGAGGCCAGGCCGGGGGGCAGGCAGCACCCGGTGCCAGGGCCCGCGGGGAGGGGGGGAAGGGGGCAGAGCT